ATTTTGTATTTTTTATTTCTAATTTAAGGATCTAAAACAAAACATATCTTTATATATAAAAATTCATCGTCACGTTGTTGGTTTCCAATGAAGTTCAAAATAACTCTCTGAACTCGTTTTAATGAAATTGTGTTTTTATTTTGCATGATTTTTTCCAACTTAGAATGCAGATGAGTTTTTATCGCGATTATTTTGTATTTTTTATTTCTAATTTCAGGATTTGAAACAAAACATACACAAAAACATATCTTTATATATAAAAATTCATCGTCACGTTGTTGGTTTCCAATGAAATTCAAAACTACGGAATCCATTTTAATGAAATTTTGTTTTTATTTTGTATGATATGTTCCAACTTAGAATGCAGATGAGTTTTTATCGCGATTATTTTTAAAATAGTTATTGCTAATTTAAGGATTTTATTATTTAGAGGTTATCTAAGTCTCTTGGTACTGTAAGCTTTCAATAGATGGTGTTGTACTACAATTCAATTATTTCACGTATTTTCAAATTTACATATTGACATAACTAATCTTGCTTTTTATATTGTATTTCTTTTTTGAGTATTACTATTTTATATATTCCATTCTAATTATGGTTGTTATAATTTATTAAATAGTTTATAGAATTATATTAAATCAACCTTTTATAATAATAATTATTGTTAGATAAGAAAAGAATAAATAACATTTGAGATCATTTCTATCTAACGAAAGGTTTTAAATCTTCACCTTAACTTTCCCCTCTCCACGTGTGTGTATAAATGTCAGCCCCCTCCCCCATTGGAAAACTATTATTATTATTATAGTTATATTTAATATTACAGAGATATACCACACATGATGATCGTTATGTGTCATGGTCAACAACAATCTATTTTTATCAAAACTCTGTTATGTTTTTACATATTCTGATTTATTTTCTTGATATTTTTCTTATATTTGCTCATTTATACTTTTCCATTTATATTTTTCTGTCTTTGATTCACAGTACATGAGCATGCTGGTAGCCCTGATCGTAACCGAATTGGTGACAGCAGCGATAGGTGGTTTGATGACTTATCGAATTCTTTCCGATTTGGAGGAAAGATTGTCCGATAAATTATCCAAGGATTATGGCCATGATCATACCAGTGATAATTCGTTCAGTCAAAGTCTTGATTTCGCACAATACAAGGTATGAACAATATAATTGAATTTCTCTGAAATAAAATTCAATTCAATTATTTCCTTGATCAATTTAACTTAGTTGCTAGAACTTAGTTACTAGAAATTACGAGATTCAAGTTTGTTATTTTAAAATAAATTAGTTTAGAAACATTAGATTTAGTTTTATTTTGAGATCTTAGATTTGTTCATTTGAAACTGGGTCAAATGTTAAAATCAAAATGACTCGTTTTAATTTGAAAATGATCTTTAACAATTGGTCGTCTCTGCATGTATCGTTCATTGTCTTAAAATTATAACCGATTAGGTTTAAATTATACCAATTGTATTATACATTTCGATTATTTCACGTATGAACAACCTTTTTCAACATGAAATGCATTTCTTCCGCTAGAAATATTCGCTTTACTTTGAAGAGTTCATCTATTATTATTATTATTATTATTACATTTAAACACGTATATATGTTACGCAACATACACGTACACGTACATTTACACACAAAGAATTGAATCTATTGTAGTTTAATTGCTGCGGAGTGCACAGCGACGAGGATTATAATGGTACAGCATGGTGGAGGGATGGACAAATTTCAGGAAGCAGAAGACAAGTTCCGCTAACCTGCTGCGTTCTCAAAAATATCGAGGTAATATTAATCACTAATTAATAACACCTATCTACGTAAAAAAAGAAAAAAAAAAGAAGTTAATTACGTGTACGTGATCAAATTTAAATGACTCGTTTAAAAAAAATTTGCGATTCAATTTATTTTTATTGCTTTTTTTAATTTAATTTTTATGATAATTTTTTTTTGCAAAATTATTTCCTACATTATTTTATACAAATGTTAAATTAATTATTATTTGACCAATCATTTATAAATTTATTATAATTATAATATAAGTTATAGGATTATTTAGCAATTAAATATATATTTTATTTCATTTCAAATAAATGACAATATACAAGTTTGTATTTATATTATTTATTTATTTTATAAATAAAAATTCTATATAATATATAAAAATAATAATAATATAAATGTATTTATATTATATATAAAAAATTATTTAATTAAAAAATAAACAAATTATTAATAATCAATATATTAGATGTATTTATAATAATAATATAAACTATAGGATTATATAGCAATAAAATATATTTTATTTCATTTAAAATAAAAAAAGGGCAATATAAATTGCTATTTTATAGAAAAAAAAAAATTATTATTAAATTAATTTTAAAATAAATAAATTTTAAATAATTAATAATTAAAAATTAAATATTAATAATTAAATAATTAAAATTAATTTTAAAATAAATTAAAAAATATATTATTAATTTATTTTACAAATAAAAATTATGTATAATATATAAAAATATATATATATTTATATTATATATATAAATTATTTATAATTAAAAAATTATATATATAATTAATTATCAATAATTAATACATCTGATGTATATATATACATAATAATAATATTTATTTCAAATTAAATTTTTATAGAGGATTATAAATCATTATACGAAATTGAATAGTTCACTTTTTCATGATTAACAATTTGAAATAATAAAAACATAATTATTGTCGGATATTTAATTGTTATTAATTATAGGTAAAGAATACAGGTAGTCCAATGAGCGTAGTCTCAAGAGTATTTCACAAAAACGTGAGTAAATTAATTAGAAGAGTGAATTATAAAATTGAGAAGAGAGAGAGAGCCTTGGTTTCATTGATCATCATTGATTATGACAATAGAACGAGAAACCATGGCTTCATCCACAACCGAAGGACGAAGCCGCGTGTCAAGTAGAAGATCAAGAAGGTCACAAGGGTTATCGGCACAAAGAGGTTGGTGTGGATGTAGATGTAGGAGGGTGGTTATTGTTTTAACTTAATGAAAAAGCACTAAAAGTATTTCTACTTGAAATAATCGACCCTACGTCATTTTAATTAGGGTTGCCTAGGAAAAGTTAGCAATTGGCTTCAGAGTGAAAGCTTCACTTTAGTTTTCTTAGGCATGGCTATGGCTGGTATTCAGGTAATTTATTATCTTACATTTTTTTTTTTTTATTATATCATTATAGTAAATTAGTCAATTTTTTTTTTTTATTATTATTCCACATTTTTTTTATTACATTTTTAGATTTTATTATTGTATATTGCAATACAATTATTTCCCAAAATTTGTATAACCAAAATGCTATTTAAAATAACACTCATTTTTTTACACTTTGTATTAATTATTTTTTCAATTATATTTTCTTTTCTTTTAAACTAATTATTTCATAAAATACAATTTTTTATTACTTTTGTCGTAAATGAGTTTGTTAAAATTTACTTCAATATAATTTAGCAAAGGTGTTGAAAATAAACAAAATTTGGGAAACATTGTTACAATATATGTTTGTATTAGATATAAATTAAATTAGTATTAAGTTGTTCGAAAAGTAATAACATTTAGTCGTATCAATGTTAAATTTTATTCCAAACCTTGAAATTATTTTACATCGTAGACATTTCAGACGTTATTTAAAACCATATTATTACGTTTCGTATCTGCCAAATAGCTTTATCTCTTTTTTGGCATCGTATCAAAAATGGAAAATCATATTGTACATTTTTTCAGTCGTATTTTACTCTTTTATTACCGATTAAGAGGGTAATAATAACGCTTGTGCACGCCAACGAGAACAAAAATATGTGTCGTTTGTTTTCGAAATTTCTTATTTGAAAATATGTTAGATATATATATATTTTTTTTAAGTCACTCACTTGAAAAAAAGAACGAGAACAAAATAAAAACTTTAGCAAATGTTAATTGTATCGTAAAAACTTTGAAAGAAAAAAAGAAAATGGCTGAGAAAAATTGAAATTTATACGATTCGAGGATTTGCGATAGTTGAAAACATTTTAAATTATTAAATATTAAATAATTCATATATTTTCAAAAGATTTTATCTATTACTTTGTTTTTAAGTCATTCACTTGAAAAAAAGAACGAGAATAAAATAAAAACATTAGCAAATGTTAATTGTATCGTAAAAACTTTGAAAGAAAAAAAGAAAATGGCTGAGAAAAATTGAAATTTATACGATTCGAGGATTCGCGATAGTTGAAAACATTTTAAATTATTGAATATTAAATAATTATTGATTATTTTCTATTCTAACAAAATGAATATTTCATATTTCGAACAACTTAATAAATTATTTCTAATAATAATAATATTGAAAAATATAATAACCTATATATCTCGTTAGAGTGAACTTCATAAAGAAAAAAACCTAACCTATAAAATATTAAACTTTTAGACATTTGGTATAATAACTTCAGCGTTCCTTTGTCGAACTATTCGAGATATGCAAACGGATTAAATGCGAGCAACTTTGAAAGAAGATAAGAGTTTCTTCTTTGATTCTTAGAAATATCGAGGATATTTTATTGAAAGGAAAAAAAAAAAGAAAAAATAGGAACGGCAAGAAAAGAAGAAAAGAAGAAAAAAAAATAGAAGAAAAAAAAAAGCTACGCACATTTTTTTTCTCTCTTTCTCTGACTTATTTCTTCGCTACTATTCAAAAGAAGAAGAAAAAGAAGAAGAAGAAGAAGAAGAAGAAGATAGGAAAAAGGGAAGAAGAAGAAGAAGAAGGGCAAAACCAGGACTACTATCTCCCGTGGGACAACTTTTTTCAAGGATATATGCCTATACGAAATTCAAGAACAGCTTCGATGAATAATGGCGTGAAAAAGAAGTTGAAAAGTGAGAATAAGATGAAGGAAGAAAAGAAAAAGAAAAAGAAAAAGAAAAAGAACAAAAATTGTATTCGATCGAAGAAAAATTGTCGTCGTTGTTGTCGTTCCGAGTCATTCCCGTCCCTTATTTGTATGTTTGTTGTATAAGATGAACCAAATTTTTCTGGAACCAATGGAGATAACGAAAAAAAGAAAAGAAAAAAAAAAGGAAAAATAAGTAAGGTATTAAAATAAAAGAAAAAAAAAAAAAAATAAAAAAGAGATTATGGAACCCGTTGTAAATACATAGACAAAAATACAAAGCGTTGTTAAAATCTCCTGCGTGATCATCCAGGTTCATATTTTTTCTTTTTCTCCTTCTTTTGTTTTTTAATTTTTTTAATCCCCATATAAAATGATAACGCAGTGAACGTTGTCGAAACAAATAAAAACAAAAAAAGTAAATTAAAAAAAGGGTTAGAATTGTGAAACAGTAATTTGTAAATATGCAACGCCACCTGCATCAGTCGTTTCAAATAAAACTAACCTACTTTTTTTTTCTTTCTTTTTTTTATACATATACATTCTTCTAGTTTTTTTTTCTTTTTTTTTTTTAATATTATTTTTTACAATTTGCACAATTATTTTTAATATTAGGATGATTAAAC